ATGTTTTTTCCACATAGATATTCAAGAGAAAGGAAACTAAATAATCTACTATATTGTATATGTACTGGCTACTATGACTTATCCCTGTGTCAGTGGATAGCTTTTCTCTTTTGAAACTTGGCTCAGACTTATGCAACTTTTTTGTTTAAATGTGACCAGCCAAGAGAAGTTATTAACCAGAAAAAAACTCATCCGCTGAATCTAAACTTTTATATAACAAAAACATTACACCACTTGCTCAAACTTTTCCCTAGGTGTACACTGTAATATACATTTATATATCCTGATATAGAATCATAGAATCATTTCTTTGGAAAAGACCTCCAAGATCATCAAGTCCAACTATACCTGTCCACTACTAAACCATGTCCCTAAGCACCTTGTCCACCCATCTTTTAAATATCTCCAGGGATGAGGACTCAACCACTTCCCTGGGCAGCCCATTCCAGTGCCTGACAACCCTTTCAGTGAAGAAATTTTTCTTAACATCCAATCTAAACCTCCCTGACACAACTTGAGGCCATTTCCTCTCATCCTATCACTTGTTACTTAGGAGAAGTAACTTACAACCTCCTGTCAGGCAGTTGCAGAGGGCGATAAGGTCTCCCCTCAGCCTCCTCTTCTCCAGGCTCAACAACCCCAGGTCCCTCAGCTGCTGCCCATCAGCCTTGGGCTCCAGACCCCTCACCAGCTTTGTTGCCCTTCTCTGGACACATTCAAGCCCCTCAATATCCTTCTTGTAGTGAGGGGCCCAAAACTGAACACAGCATTCAAGGGGTGGCCTCACCAGTGCCGAGTACAGGGACACGATCACTTCCCTACTCTTGCTGGCCACACTATTCCTGATACAAGCCAGGATGCCGTTGGCCCTCTTGGCCATCTGGGCACACTGAGGGCTCATATTCAGTTGGCTGTCGACCAGTACCCCCAGATCCCTCTCTGCCAGGCAGCTCTCCAGCCACATTTTCCCAAGCTTGTAGCATTTCATGGGGTTGTTGTGACCCAATTTGGTGTTCCTCTCCAAGGAAATCTTTAATAAAGGCTAAAGATTTATATGATCTGAAGAAAAACCAGAGAATACATACCTACATACCATATATACATACCTACATACAGTCCCTCTTTTCAAGAGAAACTCACACTAGCAATAGGACAATCAATACAGGTAGGAAGGAAGGATGGAATAATTTTACAGTGCTCTAACAGATTAGGCTACATCTTTTCATGAGCTACACTTGAGTAACAAACAAACTAATATGAAGAGATATTGAAAGATTTCTTAAAGGTACCGATATTCATGAAATTATATTAAAGGCATTAATGGATTAGGTCCCACATTTTGTCTATTACTTTTACTAGGTTCTGTTTATAGGCAGTCTTCAGATTCTACAGCGCACAGATAGAGAACCAACTTTAGAAAGTACTTTATTAGCCTTGCTGATTTTATTAATTGTGTATGATAGAGTAACATCTAATCACGTAAAGTAAGATTAAAGATTCTGACACCCACAGAACAAGAACTAACAAACAGCAATTTTTCATTCCTTTCTATATAGACTAATAAAATATTTTGAATTATTACTCTGCAAATAGTAAAGGATTAGAACTGCTAATTGCATATAACTTAAAAAAGTATGTCTCTTAATTAATAAACCATGGAGTCTTTGACATTACAATTTATATTCTTCAAGAGAAAAATCAAGTGCAAGAATATAAAACATTAAACAACACACAATTAACAACACTCTGTTTTAATTAACTTAGGCCACAATTAACGTTGGCCCTGCAGTTCATCTTTCTACTTTGATAGCTCCTTAGACTATTTATGTAGATTAATTCTTGAACTATTGGCATAACCTATTATGTGTTTTTGAACAAGCCACTGCACAACACTGACATCAGCAAGGAGACCTATTACTGAACCTCCAGAACTAGATTCTGTCTGTCCATAATGTTACGTTATGTATCTGGGCAATCTGCCACAACTGATAAAGGTGGTGACATTACTGAACAACTTCCTACCAACTGAGGACATAAAGAACTGCAGCTGTCATGCAGACTGATTAAGAACAAGGCAAGGCAAACACAAATCATGCATATTTGGAAATAAAAGACCACAAGGAACCTACAGTTACTCTCCATCGACAGATCAAGTAAGACTATAGTAAACTGTACAATTATCAGAGTTTTATGGGCCTTAAAAATTTCGTATCGTGTTTTTTTCCCAGGGCAAAATTATAGTTAATTAATATTAAATGTGTTTATTTTACAAACAGCCTAAAATTTTAAAGGAAAGAAAAATTGCAGAGACTTCCAGAATTCAGATTCCATATTTAGATCCAAATATGATTTTAACTGTTCCTGTTTTAACAAAGTCCTCAAGAAAAAAATTCAGAGTTCTCATTTGATCAGAGTACAACTCAAAATAAAAACTACAACGCAAAGCAACCTTCACGCTTAACCACAAATGTGTAGGCCCAGGGATGAAGCCTTTGTTTACTGAGATCTGCATATGCAAAATGCCACTAAGATCGTTCTAAGGCATTAATTTACCTATACATACAACACTACACACTTGAACAGAAGATAATGGAGGAAACACTTGATAAGTTAAATATATGCCTTTGTACTAGTTCAAAATTATATTAAAATATGCATAGTCTTATTTTTTTATATAAATTGAAACCCATGCTTCTATCAAGGAAGGAGCACAAAATAAGCTCATATATAGAGCGGTTACAGCCTTACCTGCACCTTGTCTGTGGTTGCCTAACAAAACTTTAAAACTTTTCCTCTAGTTAGGAATTACCACAAGGTGCACTGTTTTGCACATCCTAATTTTCCAGAAATGCACTCAAAATATAGAGCGTGCGGTTCTCCATGTGGTGTACAAGGAAATAGATTTTCCACAATCTAGCAGTAGAAAGACCTAAGCTCTCCCAAGCAAGCAGTCCAGCAATTAAAGGTTGAGCAATAAACTACAATGAAGCAACACTGGTTTTATGACATTTTTTTAAACCACCTGTATTAGTCTTACAATATTAATAATTGAAACAAAACTAGTAAACACGATTTTTATTATTAAGTGTTGTCAACTGAATTAAAATAATGTGTGAAGTTCTTTTTAAAGATATCTGATGCTCAACATTAGAGAGGGATCCTTTCAGTGGTTCTAACACTAAGCTTCTTGCTCATCCTTGGTAAATGAATCATAAAAAAAATGCCCCATAACACGAGTACAGGTGAACTGTGAAAGATTAGATATATACTACAGGGTCATTCAGTGCCAATAAATGAATAAGGCAGGGGGAAGGGTGCTCTTTTATGTGTGAAACAGCTGTACTTCTTACCTCCAGAGCTTTCAAACGCTCCAATAGCAATTTTGTCTTTTCCTTTTCCTCTTCAGTGCTGCTGCTTTCACTTCTTGAATCGTTGTCTGCTGGTGTGTGAATTTTTTCCATGCCTTCTTTACATTTCCTACTGTCTTCTGGCAGCTTTTCCTGAAATGATTTTTTAAAATGTCATTACTCACAGGTGGAAATTAAGTTAACTACACAAATATCTTCAAATCTACCTTTTATATGAATGAAAAAAAAAAGACAGAGCAAGTTGCTACATGATTACAGTACTAAATAAGTAGAGTCATGAAGGGTCTGTGAAACATGCTGCTATGCCAATTCTGCAAAAGTGTATGCCCAACTTAACTGCTACACCTACTTAAGATTTTTAAAAGGCGCAACTCACCATCTTTTTAATAAAATAACTTGCATTTTCTTCTTTAAAAGTTGCAATGAAAATTGAGCATACCAGCTTTCAATGGAAGCATTTTGCCATTGAGATATAAAGCAGTTTACTGAGGAAAAGCTAACATATGTTCATGCCTAATGTATTTCACCTTTCTTCATCTAGAGCTAATATTTGAATTACTAAATAATGGGCTGAGAACCAAGCTACCACCTGAATACTGAATTAAGATCCATGCTACTATATAACTGGAGAGAATCAAACTGAGAGCAAAATTTTCAGAAGTGCCCCAGTCTATTGCAAGTCAGATTGGGTTATTATTATCTGTTGCTGCTGAGTGGACTATGGCTGCTGAGTTTTACAAGAGGTCTATAAAAATCATAGGACTGAACAGTGAATCATACTAACTCCATTAATTATGTGTCCAAGTTCTGTGTTGAGAGAAAGAATGAGATAGAGCAAGCAAAACATTGAGACTACAAGCAGGCAATGTAAAATATTGCCCCAAGTGACAAGGCAAGCATAAGGGGAAAAAAGAGAGCTACACAGATGTAGGGAGTGCATGATCATCTGAGTGCAACACAAAGTGGGCAGTCTCTACCTTGCAAACCATGTTCTCTATACGAGCAGATGCAGTGACAACTAATGAGAAGATTACGAATGGAAAATGTGAGGTAAATCAACATTAAATAACGGGTGTCAACATAAATCTAGAGAAGTCCTTTAATGAGCATTTAGTTTTCTTTGCGTGCCTTTTTGATAATTCTTTATATATAAAGGCACATACTTTCATGATCTTTGGGCTAGTCTGTAAGTGAGATGTATTCCCCATAATCACTACAGAACACAAACTCTATCTAAGCATAAAAATATGTATTTTCATGAAGAACCGATCCAGCTTCAATAACTGTGCAAATATAAGTCTTTGAGAGTTAACAGCAAGACATTATCTTAATTAAAACCCATAAACACAACTGAATTAAAAATCAGCACTGTGAATCACATTTCTAACAATGTCTTTCTAAAATATTAACTAGCTTCGAAATTGACTATTACTATGTTAAAACTTTAATCAAGAATCAATTTTGTAAGCTATGGGCTTAATCACTGAATACTCTTACACAAACCATGAGGCACAGATCACATTCAGAGACTCAAAACATAGACGTCAAAGAGCCAATCCATCAGATTTCCAGCATTACTGCTATCCTGATCACAAAGGAACATAAATATAGTAGTCGGGGCTTTTTTTTTCTTGCTTGCTACTCACTGGTGCAACAATCAAGCATCTGCAAAAGAGCCATTGAATGATTTTCCCTTCAGGTTGCCCCGATGAGTACATTCACATAAAACACTTCAATGAACTTGGGGAAAAAAATCGACAAAGGTATCTCTTTGATGTAATTCAAGCACAATCATTTTTAGGAGAGAATGTGATATGAATTAGATGTGGCTAACGATGGAAGAAAATATAAACATCTGCACAGGGACAGCTTTCCTGCCCAAACTAGAGGGCAGCAATTTCAAAGAATAGATAGAAGAATGCATAGGTTATGGCATTTCATCACAGAAAAGGGAGTAATGCATCCACTCACAGAGTAAATCTCAGTCACCTAAAGAAGTAACCCGTTTATTTTGTAACTACAAAATTTGATGAATTTTGCACACTAGTGGCATAAACAAGAATACACATCCTATTTTACTACGATACGCTCTAGAATACCTAAAGATACTACTGGTACACCTGCCTGAGTGTTTAAGTACAGTTCACGTATTTTCAAAACTAGTTTATTACGGAGTAATACACGAGTTTCAGTGCTTCAGGCATGGGCTAAAAAGGTTCCTTATATGTCACCCACCTGGAAAAGTTGCAGGATAGAGGAAAACATTGCTAACCTTAGAAATTGTGCTTAGGTATGCAATTTGCTGAAGGCACTGTCCCATCACTTTAACCCGTTCTACCTGGGTGACATACAGAAAGGGTAGAGTGGAAAATCCACACGCCAGAAAGCAAAGAAAATGGGTGCTTCTTAAGCACTCTTTGTGCTTAAAGTCAAGTCAAGTAAAAGGGAGGATGACAAAGGCTTTTGGAACAACAGAATTCTCTTTAAGAGTGAAAAATCTGCTAATATCAAAGGCAGCTGCCTGCTGGGGAGAGGCAGGAAGGGGCAGAGAGAGAGTCGCAAGAGGAAATCTCTATCTCCTACATGATGTTGATCAAATCCTACAGAAAGCTCTGGAGTGAGCGTGCTGAGGGTAGCAAACAATAGCGTAGAGCAGCTTATTCCTTTTTTTTCCCTAGATTCCTATACTTCTTGCGTTACCTGCTCAAAAG